CCCATACAAGTACTAAGCAGGCCCAAGTCTGCATGACTTCTGAGATCTGACGAGATCAGGCACTTTCAGACTGGTATGGCCATAAGCGAAATTAGTAGAAAGTGATCTCGCTGATGTTGGTATAATATCAAACACTGGTTGCGACAAAAGACAAGACACTTCTGACTAGGGAAAAAAGTGATCTGATTATGACATCATAATCTAAAAAAGAAATAAACAAAAGCTTACGGCACCTGAGGTTCCTAGATGGTCTCCCATACAAGTACTAATCAGGCCCAAATCTGCATGACTTCGGAGATCTGACGAGATCAGGCACTTTCAGACTGGTATGAACGTAGGCAAAATTAGCAGAAAGTGATCTCGCTGATGTTGGTATAATATCAAACACTGGTTGCGACAAAAGTCAAGACGCTTCTGACTAGGGAAAAAAGTGATCTGATTATGACATCATAATCTAAAAAATAAATAAACAAAAGCTTACGGCACCTGAGGTTCCTAGTTGGTCTCCCATACAAGTACTAAACAGGTCCAAGTCTGCATGACTTCTGAGATCTGACGAGATCAGGCACTTTCAGACTGGTATGGCCATAGGCAAAATTAGCAGAAAGTGATCTCGCTGATGTTAGTACAATATCAAACACTGGATGCGACAAAAGACAAGACGCTTCTGACTAGGGAAAAAAGTGATCTGATTATGACATCATAATCTAAAAAAGAAATAAACAAAAGCTTACGGCACCTGAGGTTCCTAGTTGGTCTCCCATACAAGTACTAATCAAGCCCAAGTCTGCATAACTTCTGAGATCTGACGAGATCAGGCACTTTCAGACTGGTATGGCCATAGGGGAAATTAGCAGAAAGTGATCTTGCTGATGTTGGTATAATATCAAACACTGGTTGCGACAAAAGACAAGATGCTTCTGACTAGGGAAAAAAGTGATCTGATTATGACGTCTTAATCTAAAAAAGAAATAAACAAAAGCGTACGGCACCTGAGGTTCCTAGTTGGTCTCCCATACAAGTACTAAGCAGGCCCAAGTCTGCATGACTTCTGAGATCTGACGAGATCAGGCACTTTCAGACTGGTATGGCCTTAAGCAAAATTTGCAAAAAGTGATATCGCTGATGTTGGTATAATATCAAACACTGGTTGCAACAAAAGACAAGACGCTTCTGACTAGGGAAAAAGTGATCTGATTATGACATCATAATCTAAAAAAGAAATAAACAAAAGCTTACAGCACCTGGGGTCCCTAGTTGGTCTCCCATACAAGTACTAATCAGACCCAAGTCTGCATAACTTCTGAGATCTGACGAGATCAGACACTTTCAGACTGGTATGGCCGTAGGCGAAATTAGCAGAAAGTGATCTCGTTGATGTTTGTATAATATCAAACACTGGTTGCGACAAAAGACAAGACACTTCTGACTAGGGAAAAAAGTGATCTGATTATGACATCATAATCTAAAAAAGAAATAAACAAAAGCTTACGGCACCTGAGGTTCCTAGTTGGTCTCCCATACAAGTACTAAGCAGGCCCAAGTCTGCATGACTTCTGAGATCTGACGAGATGAGGCACTTTCAGACTGGTATGACCGTAGGCGAAATTTGCATAAATTGATATCGCTGATGTTGGTATAATATCAAACACTGGTTGCGACAAAAGACAAGACGCTTCTGACTAGGGAAAAAGTGATCTGATTATGACATCATAATCTAAAAAAGAAATAAACAAAAGCTTACAGCACCTGAGGCTCCTAGTTGGTCTCCCATACAAGTACTAATCAGGCCCAAGTCTGTATAACTTCTGAGATCTGACGAGATCAGGCACTTTCAGACTGGTATGGCCGTAGCGAGAATTAGCAAAAGTGATCTCGCTGATGTTGTTGGTATAATATCAAACACTGGTTGCAACTCTGAAAGACAAGACGCTTCTGACTAGGGAAAAAAGTGATCTGATTATGACATCATAATCTAAAAAAAGAAATAAACAAAAGCTTACGGCACCTGAGGTTCCTAGGTGGTCTCCCATACAAGTACTAAGCAGGCCCAAGTCTGCATGACTTCTGAGATCTGACGAGATCAGGCACTTTCAGACTGGTATGACCGTAGGCGAAATTTGCATAAATTGATATCGCTGATGTTGGTATAATATCAAACACTGGTTGCGACAAAAGACAAGACTCTTCTGACTAGGGAAAAAGTGATCTGATTATGACATCGTAATCTAAAAAAATAAATAAACAAAAGCTTACGGCAGCTGAGGTTCATAGTTGGTCTCCCATACAAGTACTAATCAGGCCCAAGTCTGCATAACTTCTGAGATCTGACGAGGTCAGGCACTTTCAGACTGGTATGGCCGTTAGCAAAATTAGCAGAAAGTGATCTCGCTGATGTTTGTATAATATCAAACACTGGTTGCGACAAAAGACAAGACACTTCTGACTAGGGAAAAAAGTGATCTGATTATGACATCATAATCTAAAAAATAAATAAACAAAAGCTTACAGCACCTGAGGTTCCAAGTTGGTCTCCCATACAAGTACTAAGCAGGCCCAAGTTTGCATGACTTCTGAGATCTGGCACTTCCAGACTGGTATCGCCGTAGGCGAAATTAGCAGAAAGTGATCTCGCTGAAGTTGGTATAATATCAAACACTGGTTGCGACAAAAGACAAGACGCTTCTGACTAGGGAAAAAAGTGATCTGATTATGACATCATAATCTAAAAAAGAAATAAACAAAAGCTTACGGCACCTGAGGTTCCCAGTTGGTCTCCCATACAAGTACTAAGCAAGCCCAAGTCTGCATGACTTCTGAGATCTGACGAGATCAGGCACTTTCAGACTGGTATGGCCGTAGGCGAAATTAGCAGAAAGTGTTCTCGCTGATGTTGGTATAATATCAAACACTGGTTGCGACAAAAGACAAGACGCTTCTGACTAGGGAAAAAAGTGATCTGATTATGACATCATAATCTAAAAAAGAAATAAACAAAAGCTTACGGCACCTGAGGTTCCTAGTTGGTCTCCCATACAAGTACTAATCAAGCCCAAGTCTGCATAACTTCTGAGATCTGACGAGATCGGGCACTTTCAGACTGGTATGGCCGTAGGCGAAGTTAGCAGAAAGTGATCTCGCTGATGTTGGTATAATATCAAACACTGGTTGCGACAAAAGTCAAGACGCTTCTGACTAGGGAAAAAGTGATCTGATTATGACATCATAATCTAAAAAATAAATAAACAAAAGCTTACGGCACCTGAGGTTCCTAGTTGGTCTCCCATACCAGTACTAAGCAGGCCCAAGTTTGCATGAATTCTGAGATCTGTCACTTTTAGACTGGTATGGCCGTAGGCGAAATTAGTAAAAAAGTGAACTCGCTGATGTTGGTATAATATCAAACACTGGTTGCGACAAAAGACAAGACGCTTCTGACTAGGGAAAAAAGTGTTCTGATTATGACATCATAATCTAAAAAAGAAATAAACAAAAGATTACAGCACCTGAGGTCCCTATTTGGTCTCCCATACAAGTACTAATCAGGCCCAAGTCTCTATAACTTCTGAGATGTGACGAGGTCAGGCACTTTCAGACTGGTATGGCCGTTAGCAAAATTAGCAGAAAGTGATCTCGCTGATGTTTGTATAATATCAAACACTGGTTGCGACAAAAGACAAGACACTTCTGACTAGGGAAAAAAGTGATCTGATTATGACATCATAATCTAAAAAATAAATAAACAAAAGCTTACAGCACCTGAGGTTCCTAGTTGGTCTCCCATACAAGTACTAAGCAGGCCAAGTTTGCATGACTTCTGAGATCTGGCACTTTCAGACTGGTATGGCCGTAGGCAAAATTAGCAGAAAGTGATCTCGCTGGAGTTGGTATAATATCAAACACTGGTTGCGACAAAAGACAAGACGCTTCTGACTAGGGAAAAAAGTGTTCTGATTATGACATCATAATCTAAAAAAGAAATAAACAAAAGCTTACGGCACCTGAGGTTCCTAGTTGGTCTCCCATACAAGTACTAATCAGGCCCAAGTCTGCATGACTTCTGAGATCTGACGAGATCAGGCACTTTCAGACTGGTAGGGCCGTAGGCGAAATTAGCAGAAAGTGATATCGCTGATGTTGGTATAATATCAAACACTGGTTGCGACAAAAGACAAAAGGCTTCTGACTAGGGAAAAAGTGATCTGATTATGACTTCATAATCTAAAAAAGAAATAAACAAATGCTTACGGCACCTGAGGTTCCCTAGTTGGTCTCCCATACAAGTACTAAGCAAGCTGATCTGCATGACTTCTGAGATCTGTGAGATCAGGCATTTTTTCAGACTGTATGGTATGGCAGTAGAAAGTGAAAATTAGCAAGATATTCTACCAAGCTGATGTTGGTATAATATCAAACACTGGTTGCGACAAAAGACAAGACGCTTCTGACTAGGGAAAAAAGTGATCTGATTATGACATCATAATCTAAAAAATAAATAAACAAAAGCTTACAGCACCTGAGGTTCCTAGTTGGTCTCCCATACAAGTACTAAGCAGGCCCAAGTCTGCATGACTTCTGAGAGCTGGCACTTTCAGACTGGTATGGCCGTAGGCGAAATTAGCAGAAAGTGATATCGCTGATGTTGGTATAATATCAAACACTGGTTGCGACAAAAGACAAGACGCTTCTGACTAGGGAAAAAAGTGATCTGATTATGACATCATAATCTAAAAAAGAAATAAACAAAAGCTTACGGCACCTGAGGTTCCTAGTTGATCTCCCATACAAGTACTAAGCAGGCCCAAATCTGCATGACTTCTGAGATCTGACGAGATCAGGCACTTTCAAACTGGTATGGCCATAAGCGAAATTAGTAGAAAGTGATCTCGCTGATGTTGGTATAATATCAAACACTGGTTGCTACAAAAGACAAGACGCTTCTGACTAGGGAAAAAAGTGATCTGATTATGACATCATAATCTAAAAAAGAAATAAACAAAAGCTTACGGCACCTGAGGTTCCTAGTTGGTCTCCCATACAAGTACTAAGCAGACCCAAGTCTGCATGACTTCTGAGATCTGAGGAGATCAGGCACTTTCAGACTGGTATGGCCATAGGCAAAATTAATAGAAAGTGATCTCGCGGATGTTGGTATAATATCAAACACTGGTTGCGACAAAAGACAAGACGCTTCTGACTAGGGAAAAAAGTGATCTGATTATGACATCATAATCTAAAAAAGAAATAAACAAAACTACGGCACCTGAGGTTCCTAGTTGGTCTCCCCATACAAGTATTTAAGCGGGCCCAAGTCTGCATGACTTCTGAGATCTGGCCGAGATGGGCACTTTCAGACTGAGTATGGCGTATGCAAGTTAAGCTGAAAGTGATCACCGCTGAAGTTGTTTAATATCAAACACTGGTTGCGACAAAAAGACAAGGCGCTTCTGACTGGGAAAAAGTAGAAGTCTGAGATTATGACATCATAATCCCAAAAATAAACAAATCTTACGGCACCTGAGGTTTACCTAGTTGGTCTCCCATACAAGTACTAAGCAAGCCCAAGTCTGCATGACTTCTGAGATCAGGCACTTTCAGACTGGTATGGCCGTAGGCAAAATTAGAAGAAAGTGATCTCGCTGATGTTGGTATAATATCAAACACTGGTTGCGACAAAAGACAAGACGCTTCTGACAAGGGAAAAAAGTGATCTGATTATGAAATCATAATCTAATATAGAAATAAACAAAAGCTTACGGCACCTGAGGTTCCTAGTTGGTCTCCCATACAAGTACTAAGCAGGCCCAAGTCTGCATGATTTCTGAGATCTGACGAGATCAGGCACTTTCAGACTAGTATGACCGTAGGCGAAATTTGCATAAATTGATATCGCTGATGTTGGTATAATATCAAACACTGGTTGCGACAAAAGACAAGACGCTTCTGACTAGGGAAAAAGTGATCTGATGATAACATCGTAATCTAAAAAAAAAATAAACAAAAGCTTACGGCACCTGAGGTTCCTAGTTGGTCTCCCATACAAGTACTAATCAGGCCCAAGTCTGCATGACTTCTGAAATCTGACGAGATCAGACACTTTCAGACTGGTATGGCCAAAGGCAAAATTAGCAGAAAGTGATCTCGCTGATGTTTGTATAATATCAAACACTGGTTGCGACAAAAGACAAGACACTTCTGACTAGGGAACAAAGTGATCTGATTATGACATCATAATCTAAAAAATAAATAAACAAAAGCTTACAGCACCTGAGGTTCCTAGTTGGTCTCCCATACAAGTACTAAGCAGGCCAAGTTTGCATGACTTCTGAGATCTGGCACTTTCAGACTGGTATGGCCGTAGGCAAAATTAGCAGAAAGTGATCTCGCTGGAGTTGGTATAATATCAAACACTGGTTGCGACAAAAGACAAGACGCTTCTGACTAGGGAAAAAAGTGTTCTGATTATGACATCATAATCTAAAAAAGAAATAAACAAAAGCTTACGGCACCTGAGGTTCCTAGTTGGTCTCCCATACAAGTACTAATCAGGCCCAAGTCTACATAACTTCTGAGAGCTGACGAGATCAGGCACTTTCAAACTGGTATGGCTGTAAGCGAAATTTGCAAAAAGTGATATCGCTGATGTTGGTATAATATCAAACACTGGTTGCGACAAAAGACAAGACGCTTCTGACTAGGGAAAAAGTGATCTGATTATGACATCATAATCTAAAAAAGAAATAAACAAAAGCTTACGGCACCTGAGGTTCCTAGTTGGTCTCCAATACAAGTACTAATCAAGCCCCAAGTCTGCATAACTTCTGAGATCTGACGAGATCAGGCACTTTCAGACTGGTATGGCTGTAGGCAAAATTAGCAGAAAGTGATCTCGCTGATGTTGGTATAATATCAAACACTGGTTGCGACAAAAGACAAGACGCTTCTGACTAGGGAAAAAAGTGATCTGATTATGACATCATAATCTAAAAAAGAAATAAACAAAAGCTTACGGCACCTGAGGTTCCTAGTTGGTCCCCCATACAAGTACTAATCAAGCCCAAGTCTGCATGACTTCTGAGATCTGATGAGATCAGGCACTTTCAGACTCGTATGGCCATAGGTGAAACAAGCAGAAAGTGATCTCGCTGATGTTGGTATAATATCAAACACTGGTTGCGACAAAAGACAAGACGCTTCTGACTAGGGAAAAAAGTGATCTGATTATGACATCATAATCTAAAAAAGAAATAAACAAAAGCTTACGGCACCTGAGATTGCTAGTTGGTCTCCTGTAACTGTTCGTACTCCAATTTACTGCTATAACGTCTTACAACTTAGAATTTAGCAGGGCTAACCATACAGATATCTTAGCAAAAATATTGTATAGTCGGTATAGAGTTTCTCTATTTAAAATACATAAATAATTGAGAATACAATAAAAATAGGAGTTGGAAGCAATAACTTTTGTCTCATTTATATAGTTTATTGAATACATGAATAAAGATCCATTAATATATCATAAAGCAGAGTATATAAGATTAAATGAATAAATGCTTGCAATATAATTAGTATAACATACCCTCCTGATTATACAGGTAATCTCTCAGTATGTCACCTCCAGAGTCGGTCAGTATGTCTCTACCTAGCATTGATCATGCATGTATATATAGTATAGCATTTCTAATTACTACTGGTAATGTATGGGTTAATTCATCTTAGGGTTAAAAGCAGTTCATATATAAAAATAAAAGAAAAACACCGTTATCAGTCTAATGTCATAACCTAGACATCTTTAATCTGTATTTGGACTAGAAATTAGGTTGACATACACCTTAGGGTTAAGAGAAGATCATATATAAAAAAATAAGTCTAATGTCATAACCTAGACATCTTTAAACTTTATTTGGACTAGACGTTAGGATGACATAGGCAAAGCCTTGAATTGTTATTGCATTAAATTAAGACAAGATGGAGAAAACATGTTGTGTACTGTAAATAGGTAAAAGGTTATTAGTTAAAGAAACAGTTGCAGTTTAATGAAATAAAATGTAGCAATGTGTATTATACCTACACCGTCATCAATCTAAAACAGTTGTTTAAGCAGGCGCAATCCTGCATGACTTCTGAGATCTGACGAGATCGTGACACTTTCTGGTGACAGGTATGGTCAGGCTTAAATTATCAGAAGTTTATCCGCTTGATGTTGGTATAATATCAAACACTGAAGTCATGGCAAAAGACAAGACGCTTCTGACTAGGGAAAAAGTGATCTAATTATGACATCATAATCTAAAAAAGAAATAAACAAAAGCTTACGGCACCTGAGGTTCCTAGTTGGTCTCCCATACAAGTACTAATCAGTCCCAAGTCTGCATAACTTCTGAGATCTGATGAGATCAGGCACTTTCAGACTGGTATGACCGTAGGCAAAATTAGCAGAAAGTGATCTCGCTGATGTTGGTATAATGTCAAACACTGGTTGCGACAAAAGACAAGACGCTTCTGACTAGGGAAAAAAGTGTTCTGATTATGACATCATAATCTAAAAAAGAAATAAACAAAAGCTTACAGCACCTGAGGTCCCTAGTTGGTCTCCCATACAAGTACTAATCAGGCCCAAGTCTGCATAACTTCTGAGATCTGACGAGATCAGGCACTTTCAGACTGGTATGGCCGTAAGCTAAATTTGCAAAAAGTGATCTCGCTGATGTTGGTATAATATCAAACACTGGTTGCGACAAAAGACAAGACGCTTCTGACTAGGGAAAAAAGTGATCTGATTATGACATCATAATCTAAGAAATAAATAAACAAAAGCTTACGGCACCTGAGGTTCCTAGTTGGTCTCCCATACAAGTACTAAACAGGTCCAAGTCTGCATGACTTCTGAGATCTGACGAGATCAGACACTTTCAGACTGGTATGGCCGTAGGCGAAATTAGCAGAAAGTGATCTCGCTGATGTTGGTATAATATCAAACACTGGTTGCGACAAAAGACAAGACGATTCTGACTAGGGAAAAAAGTGATCTGATTATGACATCATAATTTAAAAAAGAAATAAACAAAAGCTTACGGCACCTGAGGTTCCTAGTTGGTCTCCCAAACATGTACTAAGCAGGCCCAAGTCTGCATGACTTCTGAGATCTGACGAGATCAGGTACTTTCAGACTGGTATGGCCGTAGGAGAAATTAGCAGAAAGTGATCTCGCTGATGTTGGTATAATATCAAACACTGGTTGCGACAAAAGACAAGACGCTTCTGACTAGGGAAAAAAGTGTTCTGATTATGACATCATAATCTAAAAAAGAAATAAACAAAAGCTTACGGCACCTGAGGTTCCTAGTTGGTCTCCCATACAAGTACTAATCAGGCCCAAGTTTGCATGACTTCTGAGATCTGACGAGATCAGGTACTTTCAGACTGGTATGGCCGTAGGCAAAATTAGCAGAAGTGATCTCGCTGATGTTGGTATAATATCAAACACTGGTTGCGCCAAAAGTCAAGACGCTTCTGACTAGGGGAAAAAGTGATCTGATTATGACATCATAATCTAAAAAAGAAATAAACAAAAGCTTACGGCACCTGAGGTTCCTAGTTGGTCTCCCATACAAGTACTAATAAGGCCCAAGTCTGCATAACTTCTGAGATCTGACGAGATCAGGCACTTTCAGACTGGTATGGCCGTAGTCGAAATTAGCAGAAAGTGATCTCGCTGATGTTTGTATAATATCAAACACTGGTTGTGACAAAAGACAAGACGCTTCTGACTAGGGAAGTGATCTGATTATGACATCATAATCAAGAAATAAACAAAAAGTTTACAGTAATCTGAGGTGTTCCTGGGGTTGGTCTCCCAATGCTAGTACTGGCTAAGGCCTCCAAGTCTGTATGACTTCCCCTGAGACTGGACGAGACTGTGCACTTCAGACCAGGCGTCGTAGCTTAAAATTAGCAGGTGCCAGTCTGCTGATGTTTGTATAATATCAAACACTGGTTGCGACAAAAGACAAGACGCTTCTGACTAGGGAAAAAAGTGATCTGATTATGACATCATAATCTAAAAAAGAAAAAAACAAAAGCTTAAGGCACCTGAGGTTCCTAGTTGGTCTCCCATACAAGTACTAAGCAGGCCCAAGTCTGCATGACTTCTGAGATCTGATGAGATCAGGCACTTTCAGACTGGTATGGCCGTAGGCAAAATTAGCAAAAAGTGATATCGCTGATGTTTGTATAGTATCAAACACTGGTTGCGACAAAAGACAAGACGCTTCTGACTAGGGAAAAAGTGATCTGATTATGACATCATAATCTAAAAAAGAAATAAATAAAAGCTTACGGCACCTGAGGTTCCTAGTTGGTCTCCCATACAATTACTAAGCAGGCCCAAGTCTGCATTACTTCTGAGATCTGACGAGATCAGGCACTTTCAGACTGGTATGGCCGTAGGCGAAATTAGCAGAAAGTGATCTCGCTGATGTTGGTATAATATCAAACAGTGGTTGCGACAAAAGACAAGACACTTCTGACTAGGGAAAAAAGTGATCTGATTATGACATCATAATCTAAAAAATAAATAAACAAAAGCTTACGGCACCTGAGGTTCCTAGTTGGTGTCCCATACAAGTACTAAGCAGGGCCAAGTCTACATGACTTCTGAGGTCGGACGAGATCAGGCACTTTCAGACTGGTATGGCCATAGACAAAATTAGCAGAAAGTGATCTCGCTGATGTTGGTATAGTATCAAACACCGTTTGCGACAAAAGACAAGACGCTTCTGACTAGGGAAAAAGTGATCTGATTATGACATCATAATCTAAAAAAGAAATAAACAAAAGCTTATGGCACCTGAGGTTCCTAGTTGGTCTCCCATACAAGTACTAATCAGGCCCAAGTCTGCATCACTTCTGAGATCTGACAAGATCAGGAACTTTCAGACTGGTATGGCCATAGGTGAAATTAGTAGAAAGTGATCTCGCTGATGTTGTTAAATATCAAACACTGGTTGCGTCAAAAGACAAGACGCTTCTGACTAGGGAAAAAGTGATCTGATTATGATATCATAATCTAAAAAAGAAATAAACAAAAGCGTACGGCACCTGAGGTTCCTAGTTGGTCTTCCATACAAGTACTAAACAGGCCCAAATCTGCATGACTTCTGAGATCTGACGAGATCAGGCACTTTCAGACTTGTATGGCCATAGGCGAAATTAGTAGAAAGTGATCTCGCTGATGTTGGTATATTATCAAACACTGGTTGCGACAAAAGACAAGACGCTTCTGACTAGGGAAAAAAGTGATCTGATTATGACATCATAATCTAAAAAAGAAATAAACAAAAGCTTACAGCACCTGAGGTTCCTGGTTGGTCTCCCATACAAGTACTAAGCAGGCCCAAGTCTGCATGATTCTCTGAGATCTGACGAGATCAGGCACTCTTGGTAGACTGGTATGGGCTACAGACCTAAAATTAGCAGAAAGTGATCTCGGGATGTTTGTATAATATCAAACATCACTGGTTGCTATGCATAAAAAAGACAAGACGCTCTTGACTAGGGAAAAGTGATCTGATTATGACATCATAATCTAAAAAGAAATAAACAAAAAGCTTACGGCACCTGAGGTTCCTAGTTGGTCTCCCATGTGGGCTGCTATTACTTCAATCGCTTCCAAGTCTGTATAACTTCTCTGAGATCTGGACGGTGACTGGGCACTTTCAGAATGGTATGGCCATAGGCAAAATTAGTAGAAAGTGATCTCGCTGATGTTGGTATAATATCAACCACTGGTTGCGACAAAAGACAAGACGCTTCTGACTAGGGAAAAAAGTGATCTGATTATGACATCATAATCTAAGAAATAAATAAACAAAAGCTTACAGCACCTAAGGTTCCTAGTTGGTCTCCCATACAAGTACTAAACAGGTCCAAGTCTGCATGACTTCTGAGATCTGACGAGATCATGCACTTTCAGACAGGTATGGCCGTAGGCGAAATTAGCATAAAGTGATCTCGCTGATGTTGGTATAATATCAAACACTGGATGCGACAAAAGACAAGACGCTTCTGACTAGGGAAAAAAGTGATCTTATTATGACATCATAATCTAAAAAAGAAATAAACAAAAGCTTACGGCACCTGAGGTTCCTAGCTGGTCTCCCATACAAGTACTAAGCAGGCCCAAGTCTGCACAACATCTGAGATCTGACGAGATCAGGCACTTTCAGACTGGTATGGCCATAGGCGAAATTAGTAGAAAGCGATCTCGCTGATGTTGGTATAATATCAAACACTGGTTGCGACTAAAGACAAAACGCTTCTGACTAGGGAAAAAAGTGATCTGATTATGACATCATAATCTAAAAAAGAAATAAACAAAAGCTTACGGCACCTGAGGTTCCTAGTTGGTCTCCCATACAAGTACTAAACAGGCGCAAGTCTGCATGACTTCTGAGATCTGATGAGATCAGGCACTTTCAGACTGGTATGGCCGTAGGCAAAATTAGCAGAAAGTGATCTCGCTGATGTTTGTATAATATCAAACACTGGTTGCGACAAAAGACAAGACGCTTCTGACTAGGGAAAAAAGTGATCTGATTATGACATCATAATCTAAAAAAGAAATAAACAAAAGCTTAGGGCACCTGAGGTTCCTAGTTGGTCTCCCAAACATGTACTAAGCAGGCCCAAGTCTGCATGACTTCTGAGATCTGACGAGATGAGGCACTTTCAGACTGGTATGGACGTAGGCAAAATTAGACGAAAGTGATCTTGCTGATGTTGGTATAATATCAAACACTGGTTGCGACAAAAGACAAGACGCTTCTGACTAGGGAAAAAAGTGATCTGATTATGACATCATAATCTAAAAAAGAAATAAACAAAATCTTACGGCACCTGAGGTTCCTAGTTAGTCTTCCATACAAGTACTAAGCAGGCCCAAGTCTGCATGACTTCTGAGATCTGACGAGATCAGGCACTTTCAGACTGGTATGGCCGTAGGCAAAATTAGCAAAAAGTGATCTCGCTGATGTTTGTATAATATCAAACACTGGTTGCGACAAAAGACAAGACGCTTCTGACTAGGAGAAAAAAGAGATCTGATTATGACTTCATAATCTAAAAAAGAAATAAACAAAAGCTTACGGCACCTGAGGTTCCAAGTTGGTCTCCCATGCAAGTACTAAGCAGGCCCAAGTCTGCATGACTTCTGAGATCTGACGAGATCAGGCACTTTCAGACTGGTATGGCCGTAGGCAAAATTAGCAGAAAGTGATCTCGCTGATGTTGGTATAATATCAAACACTGGTTGCGACAAAAGACAAGACGCTTCTGACTAGGGAAAAAATGATCTGATTATGACATCATAATCTAAAAAAGAAATAAACAAAAGCTTACGGCACCTGAGGTTCCTAGTTGGTCTCCCATACAAGTACTAAACAGGCCCAAATCTGCATGACTTCTGAGATCTGACGAGATCAGGAACTTTCAGACTTGTATGGCCATAGGCGAAATTAGTAGAAAGTGATCTCGCTGATGTTGGTATAA